ACATTCTCACTAAATATTCAGCTCCAGAAACACAGAAGTGCTAGAAAATGTGGGTGGGAACATGCATCCACCTATGAAAAGCAGTGGATGGCAGGGCCAACTTGCCCACATGGTCTTCCTCTGTTCCCTGAGCTGGCCTTTCCCTGTGTCCTCTGGGAGGGTCCCTCCCTGTTATTTTCCTCCCACAATCTCAGGCTTCTGTGGGCCTCTTGGCCCCCATCCAGCCACAGAGTTCAGCCTGCAGAGCCATCTGGGCATGGGGCCCGACAACAGGCAGCAAGTGAGACAGGGGCGGGTGCTGGGCACAAGCACTCCAGAGTGAGGGGAAGCCTACGAAGCTTCTTGCCTCATGGTTGGGCTGCTTGGGGTGGGGTGGGGTGGGGGGAGCTGCTTCTTCGATCCCTTTTTTTGTAGTTGGGACAGAGGGCCTTCTCCAGCTGCCCACTTTTTCTCATGGGCCCCCTGGCCAACAACCACGGGCAGAGAGTGGAGGAAACATGCCCGTTTTAGAGTATGACAACAGTCCTACAAAACAAGCAGGTGCGGACATATGGTTTCTGGATTCCATGTTTCCTGCTACCCTTGTCACTTTCTGTGGAAGAGAATTCATTCCTGGATGGGCCATAAGTGGGTTCTATGAGTTTCCTTTGAAGAGCTGGTCCCTGAATGCTTTTCAAATTCTTTTCCTCCACGGGGAACCTGTGCCGTCTGAAGGAACGTCCCCCTGCACTTATTCCCACCATAGCACCGTCTGTGTTCCTGGCACCCTTATCTCTGGTTGGAGTTTTCATGCTTGACATCAGTCCTTTGTTAGAATATAAGTTCCACAAAAGCAGGCACGAGTCTGGCTCGCTCACTACTCTATCCTTAGCACAAGAACAGTGCTTGGCACAAAGCAGATATTCAACGAATGTTCACAGAATAATCAGTGAATCCAATTCAGTAGATGTGATGGTAGGCTCTTGCGCTTGGGTCCCCAAAGCACCCACGTAGATATAGAGAAGATGTGGATTAATAGGAACTGATACAAAAGTCAGGCTGGTTTTAGTTGCCCATAATCTCAGGATCAAATCAACAGGTTGGTGAATTCTCCAGAAGAGCTACTTTTATCTTACGCTACAATAATATAAGTAAAGTTTCTAGTGTTCAGTATTCAACATTCAATGAACAATCATGACATCCAGCAATCCCGACCCTATTTGTAGGGCTGGGTGGGTTTTTTTTTCTCGATTTATTTTTAGAGGTGGGAGAGGGGCAGAGGGAGAGAGAGTCTTAAGCAGACTCCGAGCTCAGCACAGAGCCTGACGTGGGGCTTGATCTCACAACCCTGAAATTAGGACCTGAGCAGAAACCAAGAGTCAACCGCTTAACCAACCGCACCTCCCTTGTTGGCAGGACCGAGGACCTTGGAGAGAAAAGACTGTAGACTCAGTTGATGTCGACACTTCTAGAGCAGTGAAAACGGAGCGGAAAGAATCCATCCCTCAGACGGTGTGCTGGGCCTTGTCGGCTGTGGTGAAGATGAGAAGGAGGGGGACCCAACTGCCCTGCACTGATCTCATGATCTCAGGGTCGTCCACACTGACCTATGGCTCTCCGTTCCAGCTGAGTTTGAGAGGGAGAGACAGAGCGGGGCTGAGGACAGCCACCACACCCGTCACTCTCAGATACACCTCATGGGACTGGAAAGCTTTGGTTTGGAGAAGAGCAGACCCAGGGGAGAACACGTGGGAGAGGGATGGGCCTGATTTGCCTGTAAAGTCTGTGGGGCGCAGGAGCTGGAAACAGCACTAATGAGGGAGGCTAGAAGGAGGCAGATTTGGACTCGTCTAGGGGAGAGAGACATAACAGTAAGGCCCTCCAAGGCCCAGGTAGGCTGCAGGGGGAGGGGGCGAGTCCTCATCACCAGAGGTGTTCACGTGTAGGCTGGCTAGTAAAGACAGAATACTAGGGTTAGATAACGCATATTATCCGTTGTTCACATGGACGGTCACGTCCGAGTTAGCTTGTTGGTTGAGGGTTTGTTGGGCACATAGACTCAGTAGAACCTATGCCTTTCAATTAGTTCACCTGTGTTCTCCAACAGATGTCGAAGTCTGAGTTGGTAATGGCACCGTA